AAAAAAAAAAAAGAAATATTATTGTGAAAAATCACATTAATTATGATTTAAAGAAAAACATTTTCCATTTAGCTTGAAAATGTTAAATTTGTAAATTGGAAAGAAATCTTAACTATTAAGATATGCTTTTTCCTAGGAATCTGTTCTATAACATGACTACAGTTAATAATGTATGACTTGAAAATTGTTAAGAGTAGATCATAAATGTTCTTACTACAAAAAGTATGTGAGGTTGATAGATGTGTTAAGTTGGTTGGGTTAGTTATTTCTTTGATTACTTTACAGTGTATATAAATTATATCAAATAACCCATTGTACTCTATAAACATACCTTTTATTTGTCAATTATACCTCAGTAAAGCTGGAGGAAATAAATTAATCCTGATATGTTTTCTATAAAAAAAGAAAGAATATACATTTCACTTCTAAAATTAAGTATGTAAAGTGGTGTAAAATACTGGATTAAACTGCCTTTGCCTTACCACTAGGTGGCAGAAATGATAATTATATTTATTTATTTCATAATGGTTTAGGTATGAATTGATGTTTCTCAAATAATTATATTTGTTATTTTTATGTTTTATGAATAAACATAGTTTAAAGTATTAAATATTGATTAATTTTGCTCTCATTTTTCAGTGCTAATGAAGGCACGGGACATTTTAAGGTATTTTACTTTTATTTTTTTCATTCATTTCACAAAAGGCACAAGTTTGAGTAAGATTAGTAGCCAAATGGAGATTGTCTTCAATTACAATAAATATATTTTATAAATAAAAATTATTTAAATATGAAGTACATTTAATAACACTCTCCTAATAGGTTTATGAAGAAAAATTCTTAAGTAGGGATTTGTTATTCAGAAGTGGTCTAAGGAAAATTAAGTGAATACTTTTTAAAACTCTAAAACCAAATGCTATGTTAATTTGGTTGTAAAAGATATTTCAAAGCATTTTTTGCATAGTTGGCATTTAGTGTTAAATATGAGCTTAAAATTTTATTTTCATGTAACATTTTTGGCTCCAGTTAACTTGTCCTAACTTGTTACTTCAATTGTTCAATAAGAAAGCACTCCTTTGTAACATATTTAAGTTCAGAATTCTTTTAAAGGCCCCCAAATCACAGGTGCCATTGTATGTTATGTCGCTATGGTATGAGTCATTCAGGAAAAGCTAACTTACATGAGGTAAATCATGCTTAATAGTTGGGGTTATAAATATATAAGGAGTAAGTGACTTTGATCTGGGTAGATTTTCAGTGACTTTGTCAAAGTCTGTACTAAAAACTGGGTGAATTATACCTGATTTGATAGAGTGTACTGTTTTGCTTTATGAGCACACTAACTTAGAGATGTGAATTAAAGCATAGGAATAGACAGATACTTCTCTAGATTAAGTATATTATAGATGTTTTTCTGAGATCACTGTGATGGAGGGAATCTAGTGTTAAGTCTTTGTGATTTTTTGGTAACTTTGAACCTCTTCTAAGTTGTAAAACATCAAGCCAGTGGTGATCAACTTTAGAAAATAGTTTCATAGCAGTGCAGTAGTTGAGGGAGTAGCAGATAAATTTCTGTATAGTTCAAGCACAGGGTTATGTGCTGCTAGTGTTACTTGAAGACATCTGTTTAATAAACTGTAGTAGTTAGAAAGGCCAACAGAGTTAAAAACCTTATGAAGACGGAACCAGAGAATGAATTGAAATGTTCGACTACTGCTTCTGCAAAAACATGTGTGTACCTAGAATATTTATATAGTTTTGATTTTCACATATCAAAAATCTTTGGCTTAGTGCCCGTAGCACAGTGATTACGGTGCCAGCCACATACAGTGAGGCTGGCGGGTTCGAACCCGGCCTGGGCCAGCTAAACAACAATGACAACTGCAACAAAAAAATAGCCGGGTGTTGTAGTGGGCGCCTATAGTCCTAGTTGTTTGGGGGGCTAAGGCAAGAGAATTGCTTAAGCCCAAGAGTTTGAGGCCGTGAGCTGTGATGTCTACCAAGGGTGACAAAGTGAGATTCTGTCTCAAAAAAAAAAAAAAAATCTATGATGACAGTACCATCTATAAAGTGTTTTCACCAAAAACAACCGTGAAGATGATCATGCTTCTGTATTTACTAATATACAGGAAATACCAAGAGCAAAGGAACATTCTACATGACACTGAGGATATAATAAGCCAAATCAAGACAATGAAAAACTATATAGCAACCAATTCTATTTCTTTAGCAAATAAATTGAAAATGAAAGAGATGAAGAGGGAAGCTATAGCTGGAACCTGTTGATTAAAATAGGTGGAACCAGTTCACTGCAACGTATGATACTTATTTGGATTTGATGGGAAAAATAAACTATGAAAAAAAGAAAAATTGTAAAATTTATTGAGGTAAAATTCCAAATCGGAAAGATCCCAAATACCCATTAACTGATGAATGGATAAATAAAATATTATATTTCCATTGAAAACATTATGCTAATTGGAAGAAGCTAGTCACAAAAGGCCATCCAGATATTATCTGATTCCATTTATATGAGTTAGGGAAATCCATAGCAATATAAAGTAGGTTAATGTTGCTAGAGGGTGGGGGAGAGATGAAATAGGGAGTGACTGCTAATTGGTACAGGTTTCATCTTTTGGGAGCGATGAAAATATCCTGATATTAGATAATGGTGATGGTTGCACAACTTTGTAAATATACTAAAATCCACTGAATTATATACTTTTAAAGGGTGAATTTAATAGTAATATAAGTTACATCTCAATAAAGTTCTTTTTGTTTTTAACAACTAAGCCAAGCTGGATATGGTGGCATGTGCCTATAGTCCCATCTACTCGAGAGGCTAAGGCTGGAGGATCTAGTCCAGCCTAGGCAACATGACAATGCCCTCTTTAAAAAAAGAAAGAAAAGAAAAATTAAGTCAATAGAAACTTTGAATAGAAGCATTGTTTATAATTTGTTTTGTGCAAACATTTTGGAATACAAAAATGTAACTGGTAAATAATGTATTTATAAGTTAGAATTTTAGTTTGAGTATATCATTGGTTATTTTATTATTTATTCATTTATTCATTTGTTTGTTTGTTTAGAGCAGTGGTTCTCAACCTGTGGGTCGTGACTCCTTTTTAACAATGAAAATACATTGCAGCATTAGGAAGCTTGAGAACTACTGGTTTAGAGGCAGGGTCTCCCTCTGTCATCCAGTTTGGAGTATAGTGGTACAATCATAGCTCACTGCAGTCTTGAATTCCTGGGTTCAAGAAACTGGGAGTAGATGCATGCACCACTATCCCTGGCTAATTTTGCTCCAGCCTGTTGGTTTTTGTGCCAGCTGCCGCCGAGGCAGAGCTGGCAGGTCCGGTCCTCTAGTGCCGCTCTACTGGAGCCTTTGGTGGGGGAGGGGAGCTCTCATCCGCTTGCTCCAACCTGCCAGTTCCTCTGCCTGCTGCTGCCACCAAGACAGAGGTGGCAGGTCCCCAAGCCCCGCTCGGCTGAGCTGGCTGGGGCGCCACTTTTCTGGTATCACTGGGACTACATGTATTTGGCACAACACCTAGGTAATTTTTTTATTTTTATTAGAGACATGGTCTTGCTTTTGCTCAGGCTGGTCTTGAACTCCTGAGCTCAAGCAATCCTCCTCCCAGCTCAGCCTCCCAGAATACTAGGATTACAGGCATGAGCCATTACACCTAACCCCTATTATCAAATGTAGGCGTCCTCAAACTACGGCCTGCAGGCCACATGTAGCCCACGTAGGACATTTATCCAGCCCGCCAGTGTTTTTGCTGCTGTTGCCTGTCCTGCTTAGCTGACTCATCCTGGAGCCTGTGGTCCGGCCCTCCAGTGTTCTGAGGGACAGTGAACTGGCCCCCTGTTTAAAAAGTTTGAGGATCCCTGATCAAATGTCTGGTCAGTGTTCAAAATTTTAATCATCTCGTTTGCAGTCCACTTAGAAAAATATCTTATCAGCCATGGAATAGTATAGTTTATTTTTATTTATTTATTTATTTATTTGAGACAGAATCTCACTTTATCACCCTCGGCAGAGTGCTGTGGCGTCACAGCTTACAGCAACCTCCAACTCCTGGGCTTAGGCATTTCTCTTGCTTCAGCCTCCCAAGTACCTGGGACTGTAGGTGCTCGCCACAACACCTGGCTGTTTTTTGTTGCAGTTTGGCTGGGGCCAGGTTTGAACCTGCCACCCTCGGTATATGGGACTGGCGCTCTACCCACTGAGCCACAGGCACTGCCCAGAATAGTGTAGTTTTATCATAGTAGTTTATATATCATGAGCCGTGGAATAGTGTAGTTTTTTTTTTTTTAAGGTCAGACCAAATAAAGTTCTAAAGGTCACACATTGCTATTGGTTGATAGATCTATTAAATTTCTTTTATTTATTTATTTATTTTTTGGAGACAGTTACCCAGGCTAGAGTGCCATGGTATCTGCCTACCTCCCAGCAACTTCAAATTCCTGGGTTCAAGCAATCATCATGTCTCAGCCTCCTGAGTAGCTGGGACTACAGGCACCTGCCAAGATGCTAGGCTAGTTTTTCTATTTTTAGTAGGGGTGGAATCTAGCTCTTGCTCAAGGTGGTGTTGAACTCCTAACCTCAAGCAGTCTTCCCAGAGTGCTAGGATTACAGGGATCAGCTACCTTACATGGCCATTTTGTTTGTTTGTTTTGTAATTCATTGTTGGTAAAACAGAATCACTTGCTGTTGGTTGATAGATCTTTAAATCTAAATTTTCCCTTTTTCCTTTCGTAATTATGACAAAATGGAATTACTTATAGCTTCCTACAGATTGAGTTTTCATGTTGCATCTCTGTGAAGTAATTTAATATATTCTTTGTCTTCTTTCTTTCTCATAAACTGGTAATTAAATATCAGTGTTGTGCGGACTGATTTGACAGTGGGGGGGGGTAAGAATATATCATAAGTGGGGCTAGTGTGCCCCATACCTATAATCCTAGCATTCTGGGTAGCTGAGACAGGTGGATTGCTTGAGCTCAGGAGTTTGAGACCAATCTGAACAAGAGTGAGACATCTCTACTAAAAATAGAAAAAAATTATCTAAGTATTGTGATGGGCACCTGTAGTCCCAAGCTACTCAAGAGGCCTGAGGCAAGAGGATCTCTTGAGCCCAAGAGTTTGAGGTTGTTATGGGCTATCACAACAGAGTATTCTATTCACAGTGACAGAGAGAGACTCTGTTTGATTTACTTATTTAAGTAAGTAAATAAATATAGTAGTATTATAATATAAAGTATTATATGTTATAATACTTTATAATATAAGTATTATAAGTATAAAAATAGAAAAAAGAGTATAGCATAAGTATGGGTGTTGTTATTCAGCAGGAGGCATATAATGTCTGTCTGTGTCTCTTTGTTTTGTTTTGTTTTTTGAGACAGAGTCTCACTATGTCACCCTGGCTAGAGTGGCATCAAGCTCACAGCAACCTCAAACTCTTGGACTTAAGCAATTCTCTGGCCTCAGCTTCCCAAGTAGCTGAGACTACAGGCGCCCATCACAACACCCGGCGATTTTTGTTGTTGTTGTTGTTGTTGTTGCAGTTGTTGTTGTTTAGCTGGCCTGGGCTGGGTTCAAACCGCCACCCTCAGTATATGTGGCTGGCGGGCACCAAACCTGTCTGTGTCTCTCTGTAATGTTAGCAGCCATTGATTCTCAGTTGTATAAAAGTGATTTGCTAAAAGTTGAAAAATTATGCTATCCCTCCTTTTTTATTAACTGAAATAGTTCTGTAAGGTTTCTCCTTACAGAGAAACTATAACTAGTTTCTATAACTATAAACCTAGTTATGAAGGCCAAGGCCCCTTATCTATTTGGTTATCCTGTAGCTCTGTTCATGTAAGAAAGGCAGGATAAACGCTGATTCTCTCTCTTATTTATGGTTCAAAGTAATGGGTTGGTTCACTAGCATACTCCACTCATGATCAATTCGGTTTTGTTTTTGTTTGTAATTTATTATGTAGATTTAAACATAATGTATTGTAATCCATTTCAGTTACTCTCTTTATTGATGTTCAAATTTTCTTCTCGGAGACATGATATGCTATGATAAAGATGGAAATTAAGATAGTACAGATTTATCTTGCACCTCTCTTGCCCCACATATGGAATAAATCATTTTTTCAAGGGGTCCTAGGTCATTTTGGTAGTCATTGGTATTTCAAAATCACAATCTGGTTTGCTTTGCTACTAGGTCAGTTACTGTTTCTAGGCTTTTTCAATTGATAGCTATCTTTTCTTTTGCTTTTTTGTTTTGTTTTTTTTTTTTAGAGATAGAGTCTTACTTTGTTGCCCTTGGTAGAGTACCGTGGCGTCACAGCAACCTCCAGCTCTTGGGTTTAGGTGATTCTCTTGCCTCAGCCTCTGGAGTAGCTGGGACTACAGGCACCTGCCACAATGCCTGGCTGTTTTTTTGTTGCAGTTTGGCTATGGCCGGGGCTGGGTTCAAACCCACTACCTTTGGTATATGGGGTCGGTGCCATACTCACTGAGCCATAGGCACCGCTTGATAGCTATCTTTTTATTGAAGAATAGAAACAGCCGGGTATAGTGGCTCGTGCCTATAATCCTAGCACTCGGGGTGCGGAGGTGGGCGGATTGCTTGAGTTCAGGAGTTCATGACCAGCCTAAGTAAGATTCTATCTCACTAAATCCTATCTCTAAAAACAGCCAAGTATTGTGATGGGTACTGTAGTCCCAGCTATTCAAGAGGCTGAGACAAGAGGATTGCTTGAGTGTAAGAGTTTGAGATTACTGTGAGCTATGATGCTACGGTACTCTATCTACCAAGGGGAATAAACAGAGACTCTGTCTCAAAAAAAAAAAAAAAAAAAAATAGAAAAACAAGATCTCCCTAGCAGAGATCTTGGACTAGCTTACTTCAACTTCCTTATCAAGGTGGCGCCTGTGGCTCAAAGGAGTAGGGCACTGACCCCATATGCCAGAGGTGGTGGGTTCAAACCCAGCCCCAGCCCAAAAACTGCAAAAAAATAATAATAATAACTTCCATATCAAATTAACCTTTTGTGTTATAGATGGCAGGAAAGACTGCCTTAATTTTACACTAATTGGCATCTACAAGTTTTTTTTTTCTATCTAGTTGTATATAGTAGGAAGCTATCATGTATAATGGAAAAAACAATGAATTGACCATCTACTTAAGAACTGGTTTTCAAGTAGAAAAAAAATTCTTCTAAAAAACTGAGTCTGAATTATATGGGGTGGGGGGAAACCCTATTAATTTTGTGAGCATGGATTATGAAGACTAAGGTTAACCATTTGAGAACCTAGTTTAAAAAGCCAAAGCCAGTTTTTCCTTTCACATGTTAGCATACCTTATAATTCTGTTTTGAGTGATCTAAGAATTGTAGCATTGATAACTTTTGCTAAATTGGATTAATTTTAACGAAACAGATTGAGGGCCCACTAAAAATTTAGAAATGAAAAAAATTGGATTGTCCTTTGCTAGCATACCCGAAACCTGCTATTGAGATAGTAAACTCTAGGAATTGATTTTCAGAAGTGCAGTGGCAGACAGGCATCTACTTAGGTTATCCAAAATAACAGCTTCTCAAGGCACCTATGGGATTCTCATACTAATCAGGTAGTGCCACTTGCAGTGAGATACTGTGTTTCCCCAAAATAAGACCTACCCAAAATATAAGCCCTAGCAGGATTTCTATGCATTTGTTAAATATAAGCCCTAGCCCAATAATAAGACCTAGTGATGGGCATGGCTATGCAGCATATCTGCATAGCCATGCCATGCATTTTGGCATGGAGTGGTAAGGAAGACTGGAATACCTTTTATCTGCCACAGCTCCTTTCTCCAAGCCATTCACACTTGTGCAGGTGCATATGTGGTAACTGTGGTCGCAGGGATCCAATGCGCACGTGCAAATGGCTAGGGGAAAGGAGTTCACACATCACTAGTGCCAGCCCCACCAACAAGGTTGGCTCCCCCTATCAGGTTCTAGAAGATGACTTAATTGTATTTGAATAAATGTAGATTGTTGTATTATACTTACTAAAAATAAGACATTCCCTGAAAATAAGCCCTAGTATGTCTTCTTGAAAAAAAAAAAAAAATATATATATATATATATATATATAAGACAGTGTCTTATTTTTGGGGAAACACGGTACCTTCATGGGGCCTCCAGTGTGAGAGTGGGGACGCTACTCTATCTCATTAGTGATTGCCTTCTTTTGTGAGGTATTCATTCCTATACATGCATTAAATGAACACAAGAACTTTGCCATTTTTGTCTAGATCATAGGAATGATCATGCCTGGGTGACTAAAAAAAATAAACAAGTTAACATACTTTTCAGAAAGGAGAAGCTAAGGAGAATTTCTGGTTTTCTTCTTTAATATGTAAATTAACTCAAATTTGATAGTAATTTTTTTCAGGAGTCTATTGAATCATCTTTACGGTTTGCTTTAAGGTTTACATATTTTGTGTACATACATACATATATATTCTGAAAATGGTTTTTAATCTATTTTTGTAGCCATTGGAAAAGAAGTTTGTTCGAGTCTCTGGAGAAGCAACTATTGGGCATGTAGAAAAATTCCTCAGAAGAAAAATGGGTCTTGATCCAGTTTGTCAGGTACAGTACATGTATGTAAAAGAACAGGTAATACTGTGAGACTAAATTTAGCATTTTGAAAAAGAAGTGTCTAGGATTTCATACAGTAGCTTTTGTTTTATAATCCGGTAGAGACTGTAAATGCTAATTGAGTATTGCTACACACTCCCAAGTTTAATCACATTTGATTTAGTATAACAAGAAAGCTCAAAACACCTAGAAAAGTGAAATATCTATCTATAGGGATGTTCAACATGCAGCCCATAGGATACATACTGATTTTGTGAGGACGTTTTTTGCTTGTCTATGGTGTCAGATATCGTAAAAAGTATGCACAGACCTTTTTTCTTTTGCTAATCAGCTTTCATTAATGTTTGTGCAATTGTGTAATTAAGGTGTGACAGAGGGGAAAAAAGTTTGACTAGCTCCTATAGACCCTATTTTTTTCTTTTTTTGTTTTGAGACAGACTCTCACTTTGTTGCCTTTGATAGAGTACCATGGCAGCATAGCTCAAAACAACTTGTAACTGTTGGGCGCAAGCGATTCTCTTGTCTCAGCCTCCCATGTAGCTGGGACTATAGGTGCCCACCACAATGCCCAGCTATTTTTAAGAGACGGGGTCTCACTCTTGCTTAGACCTTTTTTTTTTTTTGAGACAGAGTCTCACTATGTCACCCTCGATAGAGTGCTGTGGTGTCATAACTCATAGCAACAAGCTCAAAGCAACTTGTAACTGTTGGGTGCAAGTGATTCTCTTGTCTCAGCCTCCCAAGTAGCTAGGACTACAGGTGCCCACCACAATGCCCAGCTATTTTTAGAGACGGGGTTTCGCTCTTACTTAGACCCTATTTTTTGAGGATTGAGAACATTCTAACCTATATAATATTTTTTTTGATTTATTTTATTTAATTTGAGGCATAGTTTCACTCTATTGCTCCAGGCTAGAGTGCCATGGTATTAGCCGAGCTCACAGCAACCTCAAACTCCTGGGCTTAAAACAATTCTTCTGTCTCAGTCTCTTAAGTAGCTGGGACAAGTGCCTATCTCAATACCTGGCTAATTTTTTCTATTTTTTTCTGTTTCACTTTTGTTTAGGCTGGTCTTAAGCTCCTAAGCTTAAGAAATCATCCCACCTTGGCCTCCCAGGGTGCTAGAATTCTAAATGTGAGCCATTTTGCCTAGCCAACCTTAAGCCTTCTATGAATTCAGTTTCCAAATAATTTTCTTTTTTGAGACAGAGTCTCACTTTGTTGTCCAGGCTAGAGTGCTGTGGCATTAGCCTGTTTCATAGCAACTTTAAACTCCTGGGGTCAAGCAGTCCTCCTGCTTCAGCCTCTGAAAGTGTTAGGATTACAGGTGTGAGACACCACTCCCGGCCTACTTTCCAAATAATTTTTAGAAAGACTAATGTATTATATGTTATATCCCTACCGTTCATTTATTATTATTATTATTATTTTGAGACAGAGTCTCACTTTGTCACCCTTGGTAGAGTGCCATGGTGTCATAGCTCATAGCAACCTCCAACTCCTGGGCTCAAGTGATCCTCTTGCCTCAGTTTTTTCGATTTTTAGTAGAGATGGGGGTCTCACTTTTTGCACAGGCTGGTCTTGAACCTGTGAGCTCAAGCTATCCACTCACTTCGGCCTTCCAGAGTGGTAGTATTATAGGTGTTAGCCACTGCTCTTGGCTAGGTTTGTTTTTGTTGTTGTTGTTGTTGTTGTATTTTTTTTTTTATTTGTTTGTTTGTTAAGACAGAGTCTCACTGTGTTGCCCTGGGGTTGAGTGCCCTGACGTTGTATCTCACAGCAACTTCAGACTCCTGGGCTCAAGTAATCTTGCCTTGGCCTTCTGAGTAGCTGGGACTATAGGCACCTGCCTTGATGGTTGGCTAATTTTTCCACTTTGAGTAAAGATGCCGTCTTGCTTTTGCTCAGGCTGGTCCTTAAACTCCTGAGCTCAGGCAATCCACCTATCACAGCTTGCAAGAGTTGGTAGGATTACAGCCGTGAGTCACTATGCCCAACCTTTATTTTTGTCCTTTCTAAAACTTGATATTCCAGAGAATATAGAGATTATACACAAAAGATTTAACATAGCAGATCTTTAGAAGGGTCTGCTTACAAAGTTGGCCTTTGGCTATCTAGGGACTTGGCCTGCAGAAGGTTGTCTACACTAATATGAAAAGTTCCGGCTCGGCACCTATGGCTCAAG